ATCATCCAAAACTGGCTCCCACAGGAGATATCGCTTGGATTAGATCAAGCGATACAGTAGATATCGCCGCAATGAAATTACATCACAATGCTTTGCAGACCATTGTGACGTCACCGGTTACCATGACGTCACAATCAAATGACATCACTAATGGCTCTGCTACCGAAGCTGTTAGCAGTACTTTTTTACACTGAAAATACTGCTAATTACTGTCTACAAATTGAAAGGTTGGAAGAATGTTGTTGGATGATAAATAAAATCTCACCCTCGTGTCTTTTGATATCAAATATATCAACACTCGTTGATAAAAGTGGCAAAAATCCTCGGCAAGCCTCGGATGTTTTTCCACTTTTATCAACTCGTGTTGATATATTTGACACTCGGGTGAGATTCTCTATATCTCTACCACTATTGGTGCGATCGTGTGGCTATTTCGTTTATCTGCGTTGTTTGTTGTTTGACGCCGCACTCAAACAATATTCCAACTATATGACGGGGGTCTGTAAATAAGCGAGTCTGGACCAGACAATCAAGTGATTGACATCACGAGCATCGATCAATTAGGATACGATGACATGCATCAACTAAGTCAGCGAGCCTGACAACCCGATCCCGTTAGTCGCCTCTAACGTCAAGCATGGTCACTTTTTACGGCAAGCATGGGTCGCTGAAGGCCTATTCTACCCCGGATCTTCACGGGACCTGCAGACCTATTCTGACCCTCTCTATAGATATGTAGTCACATTGTTACACATTCTTAGCATGTAATTCCATGTTTAGTCCTGTGACATGACCGTGGAATTATATATACATACAGTAAACCACGGTTATAACGAACACGCTTATAACGAACTGACGGATATAACGAACTTACTTTTTTGGTCCCGACTATTTGCTGTAATTATGCTGTATATATGCTTATAACGAACTACGGTTATAACGAACTAAAATTAGTAGCCCCCTTGAGTTCGTTATAACCGTACTTTACTGTATATTCATTTTTTAACTAAAAGCCTAGGCAAGGCTAGATGAAAAAAAAACAAGCCTAGTTCTGTCGAGGAGGTTGGCTTAATTCCTTCCTCTTTTGAAAAATATAAATTACAATTATTTTAAAGAAATGTTTTCATAGACTAAGTGTGAGTCTACTCCACGCTGTGCTGTGTATTATTGCCTTCTAAAATAAGCATAAGGTCAGCAAGTCATAGAACAGGCGGCAGCCATGCTAAAATATAATAATCTATTTATAGCGTCGCGTCATCCTGGTAACGGAAGGGTCGGATCTATTAATAGCACGGATCATAACCACATTCGCTGTCATGGCGGTGATAAACACCTCCATCTATGACGAGTTCTGACATAAGCGTCTTAGAACACAATGTATTCACTTCAAGCGACTGTGTAGCAATGTAAAGCATATCTGTCCGTGTAGTGAACACCACCAATACCGTATTTCTTCTCTTAGATGAATCTACTTCGTCCTCTATTTTTACGTACATATTAAAAAAATGTGGTAATTCAAAATCAGGCATCTATTTTTAGACCCTATGCCTATGCTTCAATTTTAGACTTTGAAACACGGGCTTAATATCATCCCGGATTTAAAAACAGATCAACTCGCAGTTTTCACTATTTTTTTAAATAGATCATTTATTATCATTCGGACAGCGTTTGACGTGATGGGGGAAAAATACAAAATCTACAACCAAACACCGTTTAAGCGTCTCTCTCTCTCTCTCTCTCTCTCTCTCTCTCTCTCTCTCTCTCTCTCTCTCTATGAAGGTTCACGCTCTAATAACCTCACAGAGTGAAAATCGTTTTTTGTTCGCGTGATGTAGTCTATGCTTAGACACATACTGTTTCGTAATTAAAAAACACTTGCACGCGTCTGTACCGGCGGACAGAGGTGACTCCCGTCTCTGTAGTGTTCCGCTCACCTTTTTGGAACACCCAAAGTTATATATGTACATTGATGGTGATGGTGATGAATAATGATAGTGACGACGACGACGACGACGACGACGACGATGATGATGATGATGATGATGATGATGAATAATGATAGAGACGACGTCGATGATGATGACAATGATGGTAATGATGAATAATGATACTGACGACGAGATGAAGATGATGATGATGATGATGATGATGATGAATAATGATAGTGACGACGACGACGATGATGATGATGATGATATGTTAATTTTCTTTCATAAATCCTGAAATATCTGCTGACATAGGTTTTTTTATCATTTGTATTTTCTATATTCTATAAATATGTCAAGCTCACCAGAACCAAACCGAAAGTATTCATAAGCGGGAAACCCCCTTGTCTTTAAATAGGTTATTGATTAGAGAAATGAGATGAAGAAGCTATATTCCCGGCAGATGTGTGTCACGACACGATATATCCAAATGATGTGTATCTGTCGGCAACACATATGACATCAAAGTGATGCAGAGTTGTGTCCCGTAGTCTGGCCATGATCCGCTAATTATTGTCTATTATCAGCACTAAACACTATGTCTAACTATGTCTAATATTGCTTTATCAAAGTGGTTAACGGCTGCGAGGTGTTTTTCTACAAAGCTGACGCGACGTGATCAACGTAAATTGAAAGCTCTCTCTCTCTCTCTCTCTCTCTCTCTCTCTCTCTCTCTCTCTCTCTCTCTCTCTTGAGTATCTATTGTTCTATATTTCGCGGTAACAACTTGAATATCGCCGACTATGCGGCATTAAACAACATGCACTCACTGTATCGATCTCTCCTATCTATTCTTTCTACCTTCATCCATATATATCTACAGTAAACTACGGTTATAACGAACACGCGTGTGACGAACTTACGGTTATAACGAAATTACTTTTTTGGTCCCGACGATTTGCTGTAGTTATGCTGTATATATGCTTATAACGAACTACGGTTATAACGAACTAAAATTAGTAGTCCCTTTGAGTTCGTTATAACCGTAGTTTACTGTACTTTAGGACGTTGCATGTGGTGACACCGGTCAGTCCGACCCGGAAGGTGACCTCTGTGTAGGTAGTCAATATCAGTCACGTACTGACCGCAGGCCTGATAATCAATGTCGGTCAAGAGGTCACTCCCAATTAGGGGGTATTCGGCGTATGTGCCTAATCAATTCTCGGTCGCTTGAATGAATTCAGAAGACATTAAAACGTGTGAATAAATTGAACTCATGGATAATACAGACCTCGCCCATGGCGCGACAAGTCCCATGTGACAAGCGTGACTGGCAGATTTGTCTCAGAGACGCGGAGAGGATTAAACGAAGGATTATCCATCTCCGTGTTAATCCGGGTGACAGCTGAATATTAAAATTTCAATGTTATTCTATGTGTTTAACTCGGGGGAAATTTACGACCGACGCGGCGAGGATTAACTCCACTTTAGTATCAATACGGCGTTAAATAAGAATTACAGGAGGGGATAACATTATGTCGTTGTCCGTCTCAGATTTCAGTCTGTGGCCTGTGGCCTTGTCTCCTGGTAACCATCTTCTGTCAACTTGAGACAACATCATAAACTTCATAAACACTATTTACATCATAAACATCAAAAACATCATAAACATCATTACATAATAAACACCATTTACATCATAAACATCATTAACACCATTTACATCATAAACAACATCAACAAACTTCATAAACATCATAAACTTGGGAGTCGAACCCCAAGCGCGGATACGGCCAGGGGTGTATCTAGGCCTGCTAAGTTTGCAGTAAATGACAGTAAAAAATTCCCAATTTGAAATTAAAATTTTCCAATCCCTTATAATGTATGAAAATAATTCAAAAATCCAATATAACGACACCCCCCCAACTCCCCAAAAGAAAAAAATCATTACCACAGGTACTAAGTTTTGGAATCCTAGACAATTCCCGGGAACCTCGGAAAAGGTTTGTGTATGTGCGTGCGTGACTGCGTGAATGCGTGGTTGCGTGTATGCGTGGTTGCGTGGTTGCGTGTATGCACTTAAAATTAAAAATATAATTCGGGAAAATTGGCGTTTGTCGGTCAAACATTAGTCGATTAAATGCTAATTTTTGTTTAAAACATGGCAAGCAATTTCAGAAAAGTCAGCAATGTATTTGATTTCACTTATCAAAATTGAACTGTTTTTTATCTGAATATTTTTTTGGTAATGTGGACTTGGTTGACGTTGACGTTGACGTTGACGTTAGGTTATATGCCACATCAATAAATTGTCGATAAGGTGCAGGAAAGGAATTTTACTAAGAACGTTGGATTTGACGGGTACGATGAATGAATGAATGAATGAATGAATGAATGAATGACTGAATGTTCGTTGTCACAATGGCGCACAGTTAAATAACCGCGTTAAGAAAGCTCATTCCAACAACATCACATTGGATAAAGAGATTATGTGGCGCTTATTACATTGTTAATATAAGCCTGTTAATAACTTGTCAACACACACACACATTAAACACAATATGTGGCATAGAAAAATAAAGCCATGTTAATGTCATTTATCAACGATGTAAACTATTTACCTTAAACATGTGTTTAAAAATGTTCCGATGAAGAAACAATATGATGACGAAGACGGATCTAGTTATTACGATGTGTGTCATAGTTATTACGCATGCTTAGTTTAAAGGGATGGGACAACTTTACTATATAGAGTAACGGAAGACAATTGTAGGGTAGGTGGGTGTGGCAGATTCTAAATACATCGCTTTCACTTTAATCCAAAAGTTTTATCTCATAATTTATTCATTACATATTAGAAACCGCTAATACTTTAGATGGGTAATAAACGTCTGGGGCACAGCATCGTCTTAATCACGCGTTTCCTTTGTTTAGAGGGAAAGTTCATTTAGTAACGGGACCTATCATGCAACTAGTCATCTGTTTGTGACGTCACTAGAGAGGTCGCAATATGGGGTCATGTACGTTTCAGCCAATCAGCGGCTTGGAATGGAGGTCATGTGACTAGAATAATCAGGAATCGTGACACTGTGACTTTGAGCTGGGTTCACACGTAGGCAACAGAAAAGGTTTGGTACGCAGTTAAAACTAAAGTCCACCAGGTAAATACTGACCGTTAGTTCAAGAAAAAAGATCCTAGCAAGACTTACAAACCAATATTTTGCCAATGAAGCGCGTTTAAGGAGGATATTTGAGCGACGAAAGGAGACTTTTCTGTTCAGACGATTATTCGGTCGCCATCTTGGACTGGGTGAGAAAGCAAAACAATATTTTGGATTGTCTATATGGATGAAATACAGGGTCTCTCGGTCTGCATTTTCACCCATGACTCCATCCATTACAAAGGGAATCGTTCAATGTGTGTTGTAAACTTGGTTTCATGAAATTTGACCAGGTAGTTATTGTGTGAACGGTATTTTCCTTCCGTGTGTTTATTTCTCTGCCAACGCAACGACCCAGCTTGTTCAGCTGGTTTGATAAAGCAGGAGATATACGTACTTTCCTTCTCTAACCTTTTGTGGAGATTTATGTAACTGACGATACCTGTACTCGGTCTTTATAAGTCAAAATGTTAAAATGTGGCTAACTAAACGTATCTTTGTCGGATTGAATGAAAGTAAGTCAGATGTAAACAAAGTGGAAGTTTAGGAGTTGTGCTTCAATTGTGATCAATTAATTCAAACTTACGGCATATTTTAGGCTAAAAAGTTTGAATCAGTAAGAAAGGATAGTGGAATTAATGTATCTGCAGTAGGAACGTGTCTGAATATGTAAGTTTGGCTTATATATGTATGCCTAACAGTTGGTTGAATAATAGATCTCACTGTGGCCAGCTGTGAGTCACAATAGGGTCATCTACTGTTAGGTAGGGGGATCAAAGTGCTTTGTTCATGGACTCAACAGTTAGGGAATGTGTGAACTATACTTTAACTTTGTCTTCATGAAGTCAATTTTTAAAATCTTATTTACACATGATATCAGCAGTAGAAACTAGCAATTTTAGTCCACTAGTCCTTATAATGATAACAAATAACAAAACACTTAAAAATGGCATTTTTCTACTTGTCCTTATGATACCTTAACTATTGTGCAGTTTGGCAAGGACTACAGGACTAGTGCCAATTTCTAACCCTGGATATTTTGATTTTGTTGGTCTGTATATCACATCAGCTAACCTTCATCAAGTTGGAATGGTACCAGAGTATTTCCTTGGAATATTGTGATGGAATTGCCCCAGGAAGTGGGAATGGTTGTACCAGGGTGACTGCGGTACGATAGCAGCATATTAAGTATCTGTAAAGTCTTAATGTTGTTAATGGTTGGCATTTGTCTCTTTCTACTTTCCATGGACATAGTACTAACACATTTATTAAGTTTAAGGATGCTGTATGTGAATTATATAAATCAACTCTCAATTTTTATGCAAATACCTATTCAGTCTGCGTCTTTATGAACTATTCCGAAACCTCAGCAATATTTTCATCCAGTAACAAGCTGGGGTATCCCTTAATATCTGACACTGTAATGTATGTTAAATGCTTTCTCCTTGGATATTTATAGTATGTTAGGACGGTGGGGTAGCATACTGGTTTCGGGAATTTGCTCATCACATTTAATGCCCAGGTCTTATCCCCACAAGGGTACAATGTGTGAAGCCCATTTCTGGTGTCCCCATCATGATATTTTTGGTGGCTAATAACTGTTATCACTCATTATGTAAGATTTCATATTGAAATTCTTAGTTTCTTTCAAATAATGCTCACATGTCATCTAGTCATGGGTTTTGTTTATTTCTGTCAGCTGAAAGTGTCACACTGACCATTTCATCACATCAGGTGTATTATTTTGTATAATGTTATGTTTTGTTACTAGAGTTGGTGGCCCTTTTGACTTGGGTATCTGTGGCCCTTTTGACCTGTTCCGGGGTGGTCTGGTAGCCTAGTGGTTAAAGTGTTCGCTGTCACGCTGTAACCCAGGTTCCATTCCCGACATGGGCACAATGTGTGAATGCCATTTCTGGTGTTCCCTGCTGTGATATTGCTGGAATATTGCCAAAAGCGGCGTAAAACAATACTCACTCAACTTTACCCGTTCCCACTTTCATGAGGGAAACAGATGATTGTAAAATTGATTTAAAGCTCCAGCTATCGATATTAATATCTTGGTTGATAACCAAAGAGAACTGACAGTTGCAAATATTTCATTTATCTAACAAAGCAAAAATCACCCAAATATAGGTTGTAATATCAGTCAGCTGGTGTTTGATAGGTGGTAAGCAATATCTACTAAACAGATGTAACTGTTTATGTAATTCCTGGTGGATGCTAATGGATTCCCACATTGATATTCGAGATGAGCATGTACAGCAGTGGTAGATCCGAATGTCCAGATGTCGGTAGAACATTAATAAGCACCCATGGCGATATTTGCTAATATATTGGCGAGTGAACAATCCCAATTAGCACCCTTTCCTTTAATCAATGTACACAATACTTATTATGCACCCTTAGTTATCGGCAATTAAATTCTTGAAAAATATATCTCTCTTATATAAACATTTCAGGCTGTCAGCATAAACCACGAAATTTATCTTTCAACTCTGCTTTTTTTCACCCAAATAAAATTCTAATAAGAGCCCCCTATTTCAATAATTAAGGTTGCATATAACACACAAGTGCGTATTATACACGAATAAATAAGTCTTGTGTACATTGATCAATCGGAAGGGGTGCTAATTGGGATTGTTCACTCGCCAATATATTAGAAAATATAGCCGTTGGCGCTTATTAGAGTGGGACGCTTATTACGGTGAACACGGTAATACAGCTTTGTTGGGATGACTTGTAGTTCACTGATAACAGGACCAATCAAATTGATGGGGCATTATTGTATTGGATACATATTACAATGCTGCGATACCTCTGAATTTAAGAAAATACAGACTTAAATCATTCAAAATTAGTTTAGAATCCAAGATAAATCCTTAAACAGATGGACCAAATTGTGCTAGAAGGTTTTTGCAGCAGTTTTTTCTTTACTTTGACTTTGGACTGGTCGCAGATGGAACATCAGTTCTCACCTTCGAATTGGTGCTGTTTCTGTTTCAAGAGAATTTCTAGTCATGTTGAATTTACTTTGGAAGTTTGTATTATTGACATTCAAGGTGTGCAATTTGTTGAAGAAATTACTGATATGTGATTTGTAATGCAACCGACACCTCCAGCCCATGCCTAGGTTTTTTACAGATGCAGAGCTCCAGATAAGCTTTTGGTGTTGTGGTATTTTACCCATGCATTTTAAAATCATTGGGTATCAGTAATTCTATTTGGGTATTCAAATTTCTGTTACCCAGTAGTTTTTACACATGTGGGTATTTAAGTTAAATATTTAAAAACACTATTCATCTAGTCCCTGCAAACTGGTGTCGTGTGGGTTCGAGAGCTTTGTAGGACTCAAAAATACCACGATACTTCCACACGAAAGTGTGATGGCGAATGATCATGATGTAACTGTCATCGTGAAGTTTGGCAAGGTTGACGGAATGCCCGTTCATAATTTCAAAATAAGTTGCTGATTTGCTAATCGAATACGCAGGGTTACTTCACAATATTTTGTTGATACGCACAAGTTTTATTTTTGTAGCGTATCTGTTATTTTCGTTGCGTATTTGATACGCCTGGATTTTATTTTACTGCATATTTCTGCATTTCTGATGCGTATTTTACGCAGATACGCAGCTTATCTGGAGCTCTGCAGATGTCAACAAATGTAATACACATTATCATTATGTATTCTACATCCAGCTGGTGGATGCAGTGGTATTTGCTTCATCATCACCCAGAGATTTATCATTTAAAAACACTTCTTATAAGACACATTTAGAAAAGGTTTTGGAGGAACAGGTTTTCTGACAATGGAGTGTGGACACTTTTGATTGATCCTGGGATGAACCCCATGGTCGATGCAAACAGAAGTTCTGATTATTCTCAGCCCTTGTTCCAATGAAAATCAAGAGGGCTTCATAAAATAAAAGTGTTTCACTGAAGCTGTAAACGTCTGAGACCTGCATTTCTTTGGGCTTTCTCCTAAGCTGGCACGTCGTGATATAACTGGAATATTGTTAAAAGCAGAGTTAAACCCAACTCACTCACACATAAAATATGCAAACCATCTGATTGCCCAAAGAATACATTTTTCACTGAACAGGTTGTTTACAATGAGTCTGCTGTAATCTTTTCCCTGTAACTGATATTGCATTTAGGTGTGACCACATTGTTTCCTCTTGTTAATGTTCAGTATTCATCAGTTTTTGTTTCTTTGATCAGTGATCTTGCTTGAGACAAATGGCGTCAGGACGTTTTCATGATTTTTATTAACTTTTGCTAGGATCTTTTTCTATAAGGGTCGGTCGGGTAGCCTTGTGGTTAAAGCGTTTGCTCATCACGCCGAAGACCCGGGTTCGATTCCCGACATGGGTACAATGTGTGAAGCCCATTTCTGGTGTCCCCTGCCATGATATTGCTGGAATATTGCTAAAAGCGTCGTAAAACCATACTCGCTCACTCACTCTTAACTGTTGGGCAGTTTGGTTGGTTGGTTTGTTGTTTTACGCCGCACTCCGCAATATTCAAGCTGTACGATGGCGGTCTGTAAATTATCGATGCTGGACCAGTCAATCCGGCAGTTTGGTAAGGACTATAGGACAAGTGCCAATTTCTGTCATTGATTTTCATTCAGCAGAATTGGAAAAGCCTTATAAAGTTTCCTAGCTAAGTTCGTGATAACGTTCAGTTCGGGACCCCACTAAACACCTTAAAATCCTTCCAGGGCTAAGCAGGCTGGGAACTCTTTCACAAACTGACCTTGACACTCTCCTTGCATCTTCAGACCTTAAAACCGAAAACAGACCGCCTCCGTGGTCTAGTGGTAGAGCGTCTGCCCGGAGAGCGGAAGGTCCGGGGTTCGATCCCCAGCCGCATCATACCAAAAGACGTTAAAATATGGTACTTGTTGTTACCCTGTCTGGCGCTCGGCATTAAGGGGCTAAAACAAGGACTGGTCGGCTCGGAGTCAGTATACTGTGTCTGAGTGGGGTATTCATGTTAAACTGCGGCATGGTATCTCAGTGAGCTAGCACTATAAATCGGCATCAGTCCGGACTAGTACAAGCAGCCACACAAACAAATACACGTCGCTATATAAGTGCAATAATCTTGGACGCGACGTTAAACCCCATTTCACCTCACCTCACCTCACCCACCATACGGTGCCCCCCCAATGCAGTGTCTGCCTGCCACCATGGTATGACCCTACCCCAGCATGCTGTGCTCCACCACTCTGAGCACACCTTGTACTTATGATTGTCTGTCACTGTTGCTGGAATTGTGGATGTCCCAGCCCCAACCAGCTTTGTTCCACCTCATGTGCGTTCTTTGTTTTAGCTTTCTGTCACTAGCCCCAAGACTGTCAGAGCATCACAAGATGCGAGAGTCTCACCCTCTGTCCCAACCATGCCGTTTCCCACCTCACATCAGAGCTCCAGATAAGCTTTTGGTGTTGTGGGTATTTTACCCATGCATTTTAAAATCATTGGGTATCAGTAATTCTATCTGGGTATTCAAATTTCTGTTACCCAGTAGTTTTTACACATGTGGGTATTTAAGTTAAATATTTAAAAACACTATTCATCTAGTCCCTGCAAACTGGTGTCGTGTGGGTTCGAGAGCTTTATAGGACTCAAAAATACCACGATACTTCCACAAGAGAGTGTGATGGCAAATGATCATGATGAAACTGTCATCGTGAAGTTTGGCAAGGTTGACGGAGTGCCTGTTTATAATTGCAAATAAGTTGCTGATTTGCTTATCGAATACGCGGAGTTACTTGACAAGTTTTATTTTTGTAGCGTATCTGTAATTTTCGTTGCGTATTTGATACGCTTGGATTTTATTTTACTGCATATTTCTGCATTTCTGATTTTTACGCAGATACGCAGCTTATCTGGAGCTCTGCCACGTGTGTCCTCTGTCACTAGTGCCAAGCCTGTCGGAGCACCTCGAGATGCTCGAGTCTCACCTCCCATCACCTCCCATCACCCTCTGCCCCCCCAGCCGTGCCATTCCCCACCTCATCTGTGTATCCTCTGTTTCAGTTGTGTGGGTGCCTGCCAGGGTTCTAGATGGAACAGAACGGGAACCAGAACCTGCCTCCCACTACACTCTGTCGCACAGGCTGTGGTTTCTATGGCAATGCTGCTTTCGATGGCATGTGCTCCAAATGCTACAAAGATGCACTAAAGCGCAAACAGAACTCCTCCTCGCCTGTGAGTAGCGGTCGAGTCAGCCCTACAGGTGAGACCAACGACGTCTCCAGCATGTCTGCCACATTGGCTCAGACATCTCTAGGTAATTCTTGTCATCTTTGTTTGTAGTTCCATCCCCTTGTTCAGTTACCTCCCTTTGTTTAGCTCCGCTTCTCCGTCTCCATGTCTCTTCATCTGTCTTCGCTGTAAATGCTTTTGAGGTGGAATAATAGCTGTAACACATCCTCAGTGTGTGCGTGGTTGGGTGCCAAGTTTAAATGTAACTAACCTTGGATGCTTTTACTAATTATGCTGCCCTCGTACTTAATAGTATAACACGCTAGGAATTGCTTGTTGGAATGGGAATACTTTCAAGAATGTAAAAAAAATTAAAAGTTTTTCAAGTCCTGAAACATTTCATTCCCTCACCTGTTTTAAGTATGCTTTGAATGTAATGTTTTGAATCAACTTTTTACAGGCCTACCAAAGAAATCCAGCAGAGAACAACCAAGCAATGGAATATGAATAAACTTTAAATAGAAATAGCCTCAAATTACAGACAAGACACAATCCCCCAAAAGTTTGCATCATAGGACTTTTTAAAACCTGTCACATTTTCTATTAAGACCGTAACAGTCTGCATGATTTACTGTGGTTGGTTCCATTAAAATGGCAGGTTTTAAGTCGTTTGTAATTTGTGTGGCTATTTCTATTTTCTGTTTATATTCCATTGCTTGGTTACTGTCTGCTGGTTGTCTTTGGTAGCCTTTTTACCTAGAAAGAAAACTTTTTGGCCGCATGCTAAAAGTGATAGACTGATGTGTGCATGCTAGCCTGGATAGAAATGGACAATTGCTCCAGTGGGGAAATAAATGTTTCATCTTACGATGTGTTGTCAATCACCTTTATTCATTCTGTATCTTTATCTGTTTGAATGGGCTTGGGAGTACAATCAGAGATCAGAATTACATGAAACATGTTTGAACATTGGCTTTGCAGGCTATTTGTCTAGAAGTCACTCTCCTAGTTCCTTGCAGTCAGGGGCGGTCGTAGCCTAGTGGTTAAAGTGTTTGTCATCACACCAAAGACCCGGGTTCGATTCCCGACATGGGTACAATGTGTGAAGCACATTTCTGGTGTCCCCCGTCGTGATATTGCTGGAATATTGCTAAAAGCGGCGTTAAACCATACTCACTCACTCCTTGCAACCTGGTACCTCTGCCACAGGCATGATATACCGTATTCGACGTAATAAGCGCCCAGGGCGCTCTCAAAATTAGAAATAGGGGGCCCTATTAGAATATAATTTTCGTGAGAAAATACCCAGAGTTGAAAGATCGTAAATTTCGTGGTTTATGCTAACAGCCTGAAATGATACAAAAGAAAAGTCTGTGCGTATTATACACGACAGATATATTTTCCAGAAATTAATTGCCCATAATTAAGGGTGCATATAACACACGAGTGCGTATTATACATGAATAAATAAGTCTTGTGTACATTGATCAATCGGAAGGGGTGCTAATTGGGATTGTTCACTAGCTATTCAATATATTTGCAAATATGGGCGCTTATTAGAGCGGGGCGCTTATTACGTCGAATACGGTATATCATCTTACTCCTCATTGTAATAACATGTCTTTATTATTATGACAAACATAACACTGAAAGGGTTCTATCTGGCCGGACTGCTCTGCTTTCAGAATTAGTGAATTTGTTTACAAACGAGAAAAGTCCTTTTGCATCACATGCAGTCTGCTGACCAGTTCACACGTGTTTTCACCAAAATTAACTTAAACAATATTGAATTAGAATTTGAATAAAACCAAATGGTTAAACTTTATCTTTGATCCTGGTGTGGAAACAATCCTAGAACAAAGTTTCCAGCTTCAAACACACACACACAAACCCTGCCCACCACCACCCCGATTGATTGATTGATTGATTGATTGATTGTCTCAAACTACAACCCAACATGCCCAGCCTTCACAAAAAGAATTGATCCCTCAAGTAATGCAGAATGAAGTGGACACCAAACACCTTCCAAATTATTTTGGTCGCGCCCTTTTGGCCACTGAGAAGCTGGTTCATCCTCGTAAATGTTGACTACCTCTGCGACCAGACTTACTACTCCAAACACCAGCTTCATCCGTCACTGGACACGCTTCATCTTTGCGTCTGGCGCATCTCCAGAAATCTCTCCTAGCTAATGGATATTACTGAAGAGTGTCTGGGGCTTTCACTGCTGCACGTCACGTTTCACAAAGGCTCAGGGCCCCGATCCACAAAGCATTCGTAGCGCTACGAACATCGTAAAACCCGTCGTAACTTTATGACAAAAATCTTAAGCGATCCACAAAGCTATCTTAGTGAAAATATCTCTTAAAGTTAAGAGAAAAATTATGAGTGGTCAGTACCTATCGTAAATCAAACATTTCTGTCGTAACTTTAGTATCAAGAGGGCGGCATATTTTTTGTTTGCTTGGCTTATTAGAAGAAAAGGCAACACGGTCACGACCAAGGGTGTTTCGAGACCGAAGTAGAGTACTTGACAATGATCATAAGACAATGAATTACGAACGGATTAAGAACGCTTTGGCGATCGGTCGTAAATATTAGTAAAATTATCTTAATTTCAGTCGTAAACTCTATGTGTAAGTTACGAAGGCTTTGTGGATCGGGGCCATGTATGATAAAAAATAGAGGCTTCTAAGGGTTATTGCACAGCTCGGGACATTACATTGCAGACCACTTCATTGCCACAACAAGTAGTATCTCCAGCCCTTGCGCACTACACGGAAGCTGAAGGGTTCCTGGGCTACCTATTTGGCTGCTCCTAATTCAGTGATTGCAACCACCTCTGGTTGCAAGATCTCCACACACAGTAGCTGAGCTCCCTCGCCCTGATTCGGTCTTATCGCCTTGCAGATCAGATCAGATCTTCCTGGACAGCCAAACCGATTATTTACCATTCTGCCACTTTCTTAGATATTTAGTCCTGACGATATCGAAGATCTCTCTTTATTCCCTGTCAGAGCCCAAAGGATCTACTTAAAGGCTTCTGAAACCTTACCCGGTCACGTGAGAGATTAGTCATCCTGTTGTTGACTGGTGAACACTGAAGTTTATCGGACTATGGTGTCCTTCTGGTTGCGCTCTTTTGGGCTTACACCTCTGCAGGTTTACCACACAATCTCATTAAAATCAGATCTAAGTTCTCGCTGCCGCTAAACAAAGATCTGAGGACAACCCATTACGGGTCACGCCAGAACGACCTTTCGCCAACTTTGACCAACGACTGAAATGACAAACGTCAGCCAATTAGAAAGCAGCTTTCTCGAGCTTTACGGTACTCGTTTCAACCTGGCGACTTCCATTTCAGAATATGCTTGAAAAATATGTTGGCACAGTTCTCGATTAAAATTTTGAAAACTGAACAAACGAACTTTCCGGAATGTCTAATGTATGGTTGAGATTGTATAGCAGTGCTTTCCGCATACTGTGCAATGTCTCCTCTGTTCAAATGTTTGACCCACGGAAGCGAGAGATAAACGATAATTTTGACGGAATCAGTCATACAGTCACTGTACTGTCGTTCGGAATACCCCGTGTTAAAGTTTTCGAGGTTGCATGATGAGAAAACCCTTACGACTGTCACTTTCATTATCTGGTAAGCGACGCTTTGATTGGTTGGATGAAAGGTCATTCTGACGTGACCAATAATGGGATGTCCTCAGATCTTTGTTAAGCGATAGCGAGAACTAGGATCTGATTTTAATGAGATTGGTTTACCACATTCAGTTGCCTCTAACCCACATGAGATGAAGGCAGTGGCATCTACCATGGCGTTACATAGCAACTGCACGTCACTGACCAAAATGGAAGGTTGCTCTTGGAAATCAGTCAGCGTTTGCCTCCCACTACCTCCGGGACATCTTAGTCTCAGAGGACGATGATGACGATACCAGCTTTTTCAGAATTGGGACCATGTCTAGAAATTACAGCAAGAAAAATTGATTTTATTTCATTTGTTTATTTTTCTTACCATTTGGTTCGCAGACATGTACAATGGAGGGAAATATACTTGTTTGTAGGGACTATATGTCTTTCCCATGGAAGTCACAATAAGGTGCTCCGTTGGAGCGTAATGAATGTAGCCTGTCTTGTAGAACTTCCCGGACGGAGAAGGCGAGATCCACTCCCTCTCGTAAACAGGGTAGGCTAAAGTCAGGCCTGAATAGGCTCCCCCTAGTTCAAAGCCACGCGGTCATTCAATAGATTGATGTCCATGGGAAACCACAGAACACATGAGTTGCCTGATATGATGTGGATCTGTCTTAGTAGCGCAAAGGGGTACGCTCTAGAAAGAGAACGAGGGTGCAAGGGATGTCAGACGATCAGATTGCACGGGATTCAAGTGGCGCATGGTGAACATGGTGATGAGTGGGATGTGTTGGGGTGAGGTGTTTTTTCATGGATCGTTTCCACACCAGGAAAAGAAGAAATTAATAGTGTGAGATAGGATGAGTATATAAATATACAATGTATTATAAAACTTTAAATAAAATAGATATACAATAAACACTTTTTATGACCAGGTAATGTAATAATAGGATTAACTTTCTACACGATCATTATTATTATGATTACAGTCTTATTTGTCTATCATCAGTGAATGACACCCAGAAATATGACTTAAGCCCAAAGGGCTATCAGTAAATATGTAATGTTAGCTTAGAACCTTGGTAGTGCGAAATGCTTTTGCGCGCAAACTTTTCTCTTACCTTAATTTTCAGTAGAATTTTGTGTTGTTATATGTACTATTATTAGCTGAGCTTTCTAGAATGAACAAAATGGTTTTGGCCAGTGGTTGCAGACTGTGATTGACACAAACTTAGATCACCAGAAAGTGAAAGTTAATTAACTTTTCGTTCTGTTTTGTCACATGACAATTCACAGTTTTGATGCAGTGCTATTCAATAACAATGAAGTCCCATATGCTAGGCACAGAGCTCCAGATATGCTGCGTGCATGGGTAAAATACCCACAACACCAAAAGCTTATCTGGAGCTCTGTAGCCATATGGAAATTGTTCAGTGGCACTAGGATTAATTCTTTTTTCAGCTTCTTGACCTCATTGACAAATGAACCGCCTCCATGGTCTAGAGGTAGAGCGTCCGCCCGGAGAGCGGAAGGTCCGGGGTTCGATCCCCAGCCGCGCCATACCAAAAGACGTTAAAAGATGGTACTTGTTGTTACCCTGTCTGGCGCTTGGCATTAAGGGGCTAAAACAAGGACTTGGCGGTTCGGAGTCTGTATACTGTGTCTGAGTGGGGTATTCATGTTAAACTGCGGCATGGTATCTCAGTGTGCTAGCACTATAAATCGGCATCAGTCCGGACTAGTACAAGCAGACATACATACATGTACATGCACGTCGCTATATAAGTGCAATAATCTTGGACGCGACGTTAAACCCCATTTCACCTCACCTCATTGACAAATGTTGTGAAGTTTGTATTTCTCTTATTGTCCATACCATCTTCCCGAGGCAAGTGAGTTAACTGACTATAAAAGTCCAGTTTCCACCCTTGCCGAACTAGGCCGGGATTCCTTGGCTCGATCGAAGATGTGTTCATACAGGGTCCACGGGTGGCCCAGTCATCTAAGGCACCACAATGTGCTGTTGGGAGCACGGGTGGCCCAGTCATCTAAGGCGCCGCAATTCGCTGTGCAGAGTTGCGTCCCCTGGACAAGCCAGAAACCTATGGTTGTGGGTTCCAATCCCGGTTCACCCCGATTATGTGTCTAGGTTTGTCAGCACCATACCCATGCACGTGGCTTTCACCGAAGTGGTAAACGTCTAAGACCTGCATCACTTCGGGTTTTCCTACCAGATCAAGCTGACACGCCTTGATATAACTGGAATACTGTTCAAAGCGGGGTTAAACCCAACTCACTCACACACTCCCTAATTGTCCTTAAGTTTGGTCAGTAAACATGCACAAGGACTCATGCTGCAGAATTTGCATGCTTCATAAGATTTTGTTTTGGTCTTACAATGATCATGAAAGTAGAACCTAAATTGTTCGAGAACCAGGCCAAATTGACCACCCCCATGGTCAGTGAATAGTGTCTGCTCATATCAACAGACATTAAAGGTGGTGCTTGTTGTTACCCTGCCTGGTGCTCAGACCTGTGAAGATTCCGGGTTAGAATAGGTCTTCAGCAATCCATACTTGCCGTAAAAGGCGACTATGCTTGTCGTAAAAGGCGACTAACAGGATCGGGTGGTCAGGCTCGTTGACTTGGTTGATGCATGTCATCGATCCCAATTGCGTGGATCGATGCTCATGATGTCAATCACTGGATTGACTGGTCCAGGCTCGATTATTTTACAGACCGCCGTCATATAGCTGGAATATTGCTGAGTGCAGCGTTAAACAGCAAACAAACAAACTGGTGCTTAGCTTTAAGTAGCTAAGGGACTTATTGTCTCGGTGTCTATACTGTGTCTGAATGGGGTATCCATGTTAAAACTGGTGTGGTATCTCAATGAGCTAGCACTCTAACATCAGCTAAATACTTGATGAATAAAGGACAGAGATCGTAATCGCAACGTTAAGCCCCATTTCATCTCACTTCACACCTGCACTTCACTGGACTGATGATGATGATGATGATGATGATGGTTGAGGGGCGGTCGGGTAGCCTAGTTGTGAAAGCTATCGCTCGTCACGCCAAAGACCTGATTTCGATTCCCAACATGGGTACAATGTGTGAAGCCCATTTCTGGTGTCCCCCGCCGTGATATTGCTGGAATATTGCTAAAAGCGGCGTAAAACCCTACTCACTCACTCACTCACACCTGCAGTGATTGTCTTACTTGCAATGGTACAAATGATGTGCTGTATACTCAACACTGACTTTCTGCTTGCTGCTTCAGGAACATCATCACCAGATCCACCATCTTCCACGTCGCCACCCCCTGGCAGCACCCCCAGCACCACCAACACCACACCCAGCGTGGAGACGGCCACGCCTACTGTGCCTGTAGCCAGCGCCAGTCAGGAAAAGCAAGACACGGAGAAGACGGAAGAAGGAGCAGCTGGTAAGAGTTGTCCCCCCTTGACATCGATGCGAGGACCATATAAAGTATTTATTATTCAGATGCAGGGTTCAAAATTACAATGCAGTGTTAGAAATTGGCACTAGTCCTGTAGTCCTTACCAAACTGCCCAATAGTAAAGGCTTCCTAAGGGCTAGTAGAAATTGGCCCATTTTAAGGGTTTTGCTATATGTTATCATTATAAGGACTAGTGGACAAAAACTGTTAGTTTCTAACCCTGCAATGCTTTATCTTTACTTGGTCTCAGAGTGAGAAACTTGAGCGCTAGAAACAAATTCGTCCACTAGTCGTTATAATGCTAACATAAAGCAAAACCCTTAAAAAGGGCAAATTTCTACTAGTCCTTATGATACCTTAACTATTGGGCAGTTTGGCAGGGACTAAAGGACTAGTGCCAATTTCTACCGCTAGTATCTGTTCGATGTTGGGGATGCCAGGTTTAAACAGGTTCCAGTTCAGCTTTTGAAATTGGCACTAGTCCTGTAGTCCTTGCCAAACTGCCCAATAGCTAAGGTATCATAAGGACCAGTATAAATTTGCCCTTTTTAGGGGTTTTGCTCTATGCTATTATGAGGACCAGTGGACTAAAAGTGTTGGTTTCTAGTGCTGCCATTATGTGAAAGGCTTGAAAAGTGAATGTACACACGACAAATGGAATTGAAACGTTTAAAAGAATTTTTAAGATATCATGTGAGATTCAAACAGTTATAGCTGCGGTTGGGTAGCCTAGTGGTTAAAGCGTTCGCTCGTCACGCTGAAGACCCTGGTTCGATTCCCGACATGGGTACAATGTGTGAAGCCCATTTCTGGTGTCCCCCGCCGTGATATTGCTGGAATATTGCTAAAAGCGGCGTAAAACCATACTCACTCACTCACTCACTCACTCAAACAGTTATGGTACGTAAGCCTACACTGAACACTGTCTGTCACCAGGGGGGTCGGAGGTGTCCGATGATGGGAAGTCTGAAGACGGGAAAGACAAGAAGCCCAAGAAAAACAGATGTCATACTTGCAAGAAGAAGGTTGGACTAACAGGTGGGTCAGTCAGCACTGTCACCTCCAGGAATAACAACACTAATCAAAATGTAGCTTTCACCAACTCGGTTGTGTTGTGCTTACAGAGAGAGAGTTTATTCAGTATTGAAGGCCTCGTGGCCAAGAGTACAATTTCTTTCATAAAACATGCGTACGATAGTGGCATGTGGGTGTTCATGTAATTTCTAAATATGAAAGTATAAGTCTATAAATAAAACTGTATCTTTAAATCTGATTAATACTTCTGCTTAACGGTAAACTGGCAAATTTCTCTTGAGATAAAGAGCAAAACCTCTTTTAACATTAACATTGTTTGGGACATCGCGGAGGCAAATTTCTGGATTTCACAAACTCAGTTGTGTTGTGCTAACAGAGGCAATTGATGGTACTGCTTGCATCAAATATAACCCTCATGTTTTCACTAATTTGGAAGGTCCCTATGAATTCTATATGTACAGAGCAGGAATGAGGCTGCAGTACCTGTTAAATTGGACCCGTGAAGATTCCGGGGTAGAATAGGTCTTCAGCAACCCATGCTTGCCGTAAAAGGTGACTAATGGGATCGGGTGGTCAGGCTCGCTGACTTGGTTGATGCATGTCATCCATCCCAATTGCGTGGATCGATGCTCATGATATTAATCACTGGATTGTCTGGTCCAGGCTCGATTATTTACAGACCGCCGTCATATAGCTGGAATATTGCTGAGTGCGGCGAAGATCTTCATTCTACCATAAATTTTGAAAGTTTCTGATTCTGATCAGAGGTATCAAATCACAATAATAACCCCATCACAGCCAAAATTAGTTTATAGAAAAGTACTTCTTCCTCATTGTTTTTAGGCATTTTTTAATAATTAAATGTAAAATTATTAGTAGCTATTTACAAGTATGTGAGGCGATACATGATTGATGAAAATTTGACAGAAATCAAGAGAGAAAAAGAGTATTTTCCCCGTCTGACTGCCATGTGCACTGTACTGATGAACTGATATTCATATATAAATCACTATTATTATGAATTCCCTGGATCCATCTATTGTTACAATTTGTGCCATCGCCATCCATATCTCTCCTTATGCCTGGACACTGGAAGGTTGATGTTTTGATCCTGGCCTCATTAAAAGATGGTACTTTTGTTATACCCTGCCTGACACTTGGCATGAAGGGGCTAAAACAAGGACTGGTTGTCTTGGAATCAGTATACTGTGTCTGAGAGGAATTCCATGTTATACTGTAGTATGGTATCTCATTGGGCTAGCACTATAAAATCGGCATTGGTCTGGACGCGGGCAAGCAGTCGCATACACGTGAATGCATGTCGTAGTATAAGTGCAGTAGTCTTGAAAGTGATGAGAAACCCCTTTCACCTCACCATACCCCTCAAAAATAATTTCCCACAATTCCACTCACAAATGAGTGTAATGTGATTGGATGGCTTAGTTTAAATTCATGATTTTCAAATAGTGCTTAAAACAAAGCTGTAGTGTTTAATGTATCCGCAAGTGTTGTCAATATTTACCGAATGGAGATGAACAATTAATTATTACCTTTCAATTGTAGTTTGATTTTTGGAAAAAAAACTAAATTTGAACTATTTTTAATTATCTTTCCTCCATGTGTCATTCAAATGTGTAAAGCAAAAAATCAGAAAAGTGTTGCCTTGATTTTCTAGACTGTAGAGGTACAGAGGTTGTCTTGAAAAGGCCGTAAATCTGCATTTTCCTTGAAAATACATGTTGTGAAGAGACCTTGAATTACACCTTACTTACACATCAAATTCTTTTATATAAATTTGAAATACAAACATTGTTTGTGAATGTCTGCGAATGTATACCTTATTGCTGTATGGTAACTAGATCATGGCTGATTTTGCATACCTCGTTTGCATGATGATTGCTTGAATAACGAGTGTTCTGCCGAATGAATGCAACTGTGATCCATGAAGAGTTACTCCCCTTTATGTTAAGCCACAGCACTGAATGTTTGAATCTTTTTTCTGTTTTGTATTTGCATTGACTCAAAGTGACATGAAAAGGCTTTGACAAGTGGTGTGAAAAGGCCTTGAATTTGAAAAGTGCCACGAAAAGGCCTTGTATTTGACATTGCCATGAAAAGGCCTTGTATTTAACATTGCCATGAACAGGCCTTGACATTGCCATGAAAAGGCCTTGTATTTGACAAGTACCATGAAAAGGCCTTGTATTTAACATTGCCATCAAAAGGCCTTGTATTTGACATTGCCATGAAAAGGCCTTGTATTTGACATTGCCATGGAAAGGCATTGAATTTGACTTTGCCATGAAAAGACATTGAATTTGACATATGCCATGATAAGGCCTTGCATTTGTTGAGGACAACCCTGCTGTAGTGGACTGTTTCAGAGATACAAAGATTTGCTGAGTTACTGTTTGCACCAGAATCTTGACGTGTGATGTTCTCGTTTTCCAGGCTTCATGTGTCGCTGTGGGGGTCTCTACTGCAGTCTACACCGATATTCAGACAAACACGACTGCAATTTCGATTACAAAGAATTAGCGCAACAACAGATCCGGAAGAATAACCCTGTGGTTGTTGGGAAGAAGATTCAGAAGATTTAATTTGCCAGTATGGATAGAGAAGAGCAATGGGATTAGAAATGTGGGAGTTGTTTTTAAAATATCAACCATTACCAACACAATTGAGTTCTACCACTACCACTGCACTAGGGGACCTGGCAAAACTCTAATACAATGAGACCCTCCTGTTACTTGCCTGTGTTAGTGCAACAAGCATTGGTGCGTTTTTTTGTGCACACTTTAGTGCATCGTCTCCGTGCAGCCAGAAATGACTGAAGGGCATTGGGGATTTGCACTAATGGATGAGTTGGCGACAAGTGGATTTGTGGTTCCTTCCGAGCTTCATCGTGGCTGATTATAATATGTTACTGATCATGATGCAGATTTTCATTTCCTTATTATTATTTACAATGTGTGTAATTTGAACCTATGGTAAACTACATATATGTGCGTATGTAAGTTTGTATGTACGTTCGTTTCCGAATCTTGGGCTTTTTCTATTACCCCGGATGCCCCTCCTCAATGTTTACGTTTGTTTATGGTGTTATGAATATGTACCCTCCGACTGACACATTGAGCGCCTGTTAGTTGCAGTTAAGCGAGTGCTGTGGATATGTCTATTAACATTCACCCGAATAGGAGCTTTTCTTCTACACTTTTGTATGCTTAAATAACAGCAGTGAGTATCCTAGGTTGAAGACGTGATATCGTATGTAACACCATTAGGCAGTATTACCCCAGGGATTCTTATTGACCAGGGATCAGTCTTAACACTAACCACCCGCCCGAAAGCCGCACCATGTTTAAGGAATTTTTAGGTTTGCGAAAATATATACTGAACCAAAAATGGTAAGGAACAGGGTGCCGTTGTACAAAACAACCTTAGCGCTACGACTGTCGTAAGTCTATGTTAAGGTATGGGAGTTGCGAACACCTTAGCGCTAAGATCACTTTGCACAACGGCACTCTGGACTATTTTTGGGGATATATTTTTTTTGCCCATTTATGAAAATATCCCGAAAAATATTTATGATTCCTGACCTTTTTTGTTCAGTATGGATCAGGATATATCCTATCAGTCAGTGTACAGGCTTGCAACTTTTTGGGTTAAGTCTGATCCCTGAGCTCCTGTGGTTGCAATTTTTTATTAAATGCCTAGGATACGCATTGTTTCCAGTATAAGCGCATATTTATCAAACTTTTTAGGATATTTTTGATTGTGTATTAATTGATTACCTCCACAATTCTGCTTTGTAAATTGACTACTAGCCAAATGTCACCTCAATCACATATTCTACTGATGAAAACATTCACGCTGATGGTGGCAGAGTATTGAGACTATATTTGTTATTGTGTTCTGGGTATTAGTTTGGTTCAAGGTAGAGGTACATATTGATGATTTGCTACCATTTTGAAGTCTGAAATGTATATTAGCTATATAATTGATTTGAAGCCAGAATATGTATCTCTAGTCTTATTAATTGCTTTGATTCTAATCCGTATCAGTAACTGTTGCCATGGTAACTGTTGCCTTGGTCCTGCTTTACCTCATTTCTTGGGACAATTCTGAGCCCTTGACAAAATAACCTCAGCTCTGGGACCTTATATTTCATAAATCTACTACCGGGACTATTATTATCCAGTGCTGTGGTTGTTTTGTGATGGTCACTTCGTAGGGTTTCAAGTCATCTAGAATCCGGTTTATGGAGTGTAAGCTCCATACGCCTCCAACTCTACTCTACAACAGTGTGTATCTTGATTACCACATCCTTTCACAGTGTACAGATTTCAGCCACTGGATTTCTTGAGCATGAAATATTATTTTCTTCTATGCAGAATAGTTAGAGAGTTCTGTTCATTATTTGCCATGAATACGGTATATGTAATAATGCGTCAAAAATTTGAAAAAATATTAATATATATAAAAAAAAATTGTCAGTGCTTTCTTCATAAAGCAAGAAGCATTTATGAGTATTAAAACATGAAATACTTCTAGTTGTATTATTATTTCAACCATCTCTTTCAGGTACACAAGATTGGAAGCCTATATATTATTACTGCAGTTAAAGGCAATATACAAATATCGTCCACATATTTCTACAGGTCATGTCAAGGCCTTATGCACGCAATATCTCCAAGGCATTTTTTTCCTGCTTGCCATTCCTAATTTTGAACTTGTTTATCATCCCAAATTGGCTTCGGGGCACGTGTGTCCCAGTCGTCTAAGGCGCCGCGATATGCTGTGCAGAGTTGCGTCCCTTAGGCATGCCAGAAACTTATGATTGTGGGTTTGAATCCCGGTTTGCCCCGATTATGTTCCTATGTTTGTCAGCACCATACCCGTGCTCGTGGGTTTCACTTAAGTGGTTAATGTCTGAGACCTGCATCATTTCAGGCTTTCCTCCCACATTAAGCTGACACACCGCTAAATGACTGGAATACTGTTCAAAGCAGCATTAAACCAAACTCACTCACTCACTCACTCACCCAAATTGGCTTCAGCTGGATATAACAGTTGAGATCAAGCCATATTATCTTGCTTCAATGAAATTCATTCAGAATGGTTCGCAGGTCATTGTGACTATATCAATTACTATGACGTCACAATCAAATGACGCCACTCATCTATCGAACACTAAAGCTGGTTAACAAATTTTTACACTGAAGGCACTGGTTATTTTTGTTTACAAACCGTAAATGTTGGAAATAGATTTTTTTTATGATAAATAGAATCTCATCGTTGTCTATTAGCAACAAATATGTAGACACTTCCCTATGAAATTGCATCACATTGCCTTGAACGTTGTGATATCAGTTATCGTGACATCACATGAAATGACATCATTAGTCTCTGCCCCCAATCATGGCCAGTTGATCATGGCATGATGGGCGAGATTCATACATGGTGGCCAGACACCACGTATATAGAATACTAAACAAGCTCCTGTGTAATACAAATTTTGTCAATCTCATTACAGACCGCCTTCATATAGCTTGAATATTGCTGAGTGCGGCGTTAAACAGCAAACAAATAAAAACTCCGTAAATGAAACGTGTAATTAAATATATACTACTCAAAAGAAATTAATAAACTCACGATCCTTTTTTATATGACTATAGTCAACCTGTCATGGTTGGTCGGTATTGCAACACACAGCCTTCCAATTGTCAATCTCATTAAAATCAGATCTTAGTTCACGCTACCGCTGAACAAAGATCTGAGGACGTCCCATTACGGGTCACGTCAGACCGACCTTGCGCGAACTTTGACCGACCAATGGAATGACCAACCAGAAGGCAGCTTTCTCGTGCTTTACGGCACAAATTTCAAATTAGCGACTATGCTTCGAAGCATATTTTGACAAATTCTCGATTACTAATTTGAAACCTGAACAAAAATGAAATTCTGGAATGACTAATAGATGGTCTAGATTGTAAGGATTCAGTCGTTAAACCCGTAACTATTGTTCGGAATACCCCATGTTAAAGTTTTCGAGATTGCATGATTAGAAATTACATTCCGACTGTCACTTTCATGATCTGGTAAGCGACGCAGTGATTGGTCGGATGAAAGGTAGTTCTGACGTGACCCCTAATGGGATGTCTTCAGATCTTTGTTTAGCGGTAGCGAGAACTAAAATCTGATTTTAATGAGATTGAAATTTTGTGAAACGAGCGTAAACGAACTATTCACGAGTTTCATAAAATTGGTATTACACGGGAGCAGTTTATATATTACTTGTTTCGAAATTTTTTGAATTTCACTGTCGTGTGTGAATAGGCAGACATCTACGCGATCCACAGCATAATCCAATTGAGTTGATACTTATAATTTCACACCATACAACTGTCAACCTTGAGAATCCAGAGGTCAGTTTCACAAAAGCTGTCGCAGCACTGTTATTATCCATAACTCCCGCATACAAAGTCGTACGAGAGTCGTTGCGCTGCGATCGCCTTGTGGATCGATCGTGTACCATATACACATACTTGGACGTAATTTATGAAATTTTGTTTTAAGATCCACCTGCGAAACAATGCCATGTGACGTGGCCTAGCAACACGGTTGCTGGGATCGTTAAGTGTGCATAAGCTCCTCTCAGTGATCTATCATTTTTACACGTAAAGTCCATAAAGTAAAGTCCGTGAATAAGCCCAGGGGTGTTGAGAATTTTCAATATTAATTTGTTCGTGAAACTGTTCCAGCAGGACAAAGCACGCGCTTTGGTATTAATGTGTAATACAGCTGTATGTTTATTAAACGAGATATCTCTTCTCTATATCCGGGGAGCAAGGGTGGCCTTGTCGTGTTAGGCGCCGCAAATCGCTGTGCAGAGTTGCGTCCCATGGGCGCGCCAGAAACACATGATTGTGGGTTCGAATCCCGCTTCGCCCCTATTATGTTTCTAGGTTTGTCAGCACCATACCCGTGCTCGTGGGTTTCACCGAAGTGGTAAACGTCTGAGACCTGCATCACTTCGGGCTTTCCTCCCACATTAAACTGACACGCCGCGATATAACTGGAATACTGTTAAAAGCGGCGTTAAACACAACTCACTCACTCACTCACTTCTCTTTATCCACGGCGACGGTCGGGTAGCCCAGTGGTTAAAGCGTTCGCTCGTCACGCCGAAGACCCGGGTTCGAATCCCGACATGGGTACAATGTGTGAAGCCCATTTTCTGGTGTCCCCCCGCCGTGATATTGCTGGAATATTGCTAAAAGCGGCGTAAAACCATACTCACTCACTACTGTAGTGAAGAATATACATACGGAAACATCTCGCTTATTGTGACTTGGACATGTTTGACTGAGGTTATGGGTTATGACCCGTTAAGAGTAAGTAAGGGTCGTCAGCAACCCATGCTTGGCGTAAGATTCGAGTATGCTTGTAAGAGGCGACTTGGGGATCGGGTGGTCGGGCTTTCTCCTCTTAATCGATCTTAATTTATAGCATCGACCCCGTGATGATCTGGGATAGAATAAGTCTTTAGCAACCCATGCTCGCCGTAAAATGCGTCAACCGGGATTGGGTGGTCGGGCTTGCGTAAGAGTCGAGTATGCTTGTAAGAGGCGACTAACGGGATTGGGTGGTCAGGCTTGCGTAAGAGTCTAGTATGCTTGTAAGAGGCGACTAACGGGATCGGATGGTCGGGCTTGCGTAAGAGTCGAGTATGCTTGTAAGAGGCGACTGACGGGATCGGGTGGTCGGGCTTGCTGACTTGGTTGATGCATGTCATCGATCCCAATTGCGTGGATCGATGCTCATGATATTAATCACTGGATTGTCTGGTCCATACTCGATTATTTACAGACCGCCGTCATATATCTGGACTATTGCTGAGTGCGGCGTTAAACAACAAACACAAACACGTAGAAGTCACTGAAACAACATACAATTATTTTCAAAAAGGTCAACTCACTGGCTTACAATACACAATCGACTGGAGCCATGCGAGTAATAATATGTTTTATAACCCAAGAAACTTATAAGTTACCAGTGTGAATGATTTACCGTTTGCATCGATGTTCATTGTGTCAACTACTTGTTTTTGAGGGCGCAAAGCGATCTCAGCTTAACGTCTACCGTAAGTCTATGCAAAGTATGGGAATTCCGGTCCCATTAGCACCTAGTTCGTGGACCGCCTCTTTGTCTAGTGGTAGAGCGGAAGGTCCGGGGTTCGATCCCCGGCCGCGTCATACCAAAAGACGTTAAAAGATGGTACTTGTTGTTACCCTGTCTGGCGCTTGGCATTAAGGGGCTAAAGCAAGGACTGGTCGGCTCGGAGTCAGTATACTGTGTCTGAGAGGGGTATTCATGTAAAACTGCGGCATGGCATCTCGGTGTGCTAGCACTATAAATCGGCATCAGTCCGGACTAGTACAAGCAGCCACACAAACACACACACACGTGCATGCACGTCGCATTTAAGTGCAATAATCTTGGACGCGACGTTAAACCCAATTTCACCTCACCTGGTTCATGAACCCTGGGCCAAGTCCAACAAAGCGATCTTAGCGCTAAGGTGATCGTAACTTCCTCACTTTAACATAGGCTTACAGTCATCGTAGCGCTAAGACCGCTTTGTGGACCGGGCCCCTGCAGGGCCACCATCATTGGTGGAAACGAGCATGTTAAGTTTCAGATTCATTGGTCAAGTGGTTCTGAGTGGATTGTTTCGGCGGACAATTGAGACTGGTTATTCACTGGCATTGGCCTTTTATTGTTAAGCTAAGGGGAATGCATTTTGAGAGACTTTAGGTGCAGGGTCAAATCGAGATCAAAGTAATATTGCTAAAAAAACGAAAAGTGTTCAGACCCACTACTGACTACACATACAGATTCCGTTTTATTTTGAACAAAACTGGCTTATTGTAGAAGCAAATATGGTTGCCTTTGGTGGCCATATTGGAAATCAGATTTGAATGTCTGGGTCAAATTGGGGTGTCAGCTTCATGGTCCAATATATGTGTTGAGTGAATTTAGGAGCATGACGATGTATTTATATACCAAGTTTCTTTATTTTATAACCATAACGAACGAGTTATAACCACAAATAGATGTTTCAATACGGCTGTCGTGGCAATCTCATTAAAATCAGACCTCAGTTCTCGCTACCGCTAAACAAAGATCAGAGGACATCCCATTACGGGTCACGTCAGAACGACCTTTCATCCGACCAATCAGAGCATCGCTTACCAGATTATGAAAGTGACAGTCGGAATGTGATTTCTGATCATGCAGCCTCGAAAACTTTAACTCCGAACGACTGTATCCATACATTCTAGACCATCTATTAGCCATTCCAGAATGTTCTTTTGTTCAGGTTTCAAATTTGTAATCGAGAATTTGTCAAAATATGTTTCGAAGCGTAGTCGCCAATTTGAAGTTAGTGCCGTAAAGCACGAGAAAGCTGCCTTCTGATTGGTCATTCCATTGGTCGGTCAAAGTTCGCGCTGATCTCAGATCTTTGTTTAGCGGTAGCGTGAAC